CAGGCATTAAAACCTTCCGCAATCAACGAGCGCACGAGGGCTCTGCATATGTGGGGCAGATTGAACGGCTCCGCTAGAGATCGAATACCGCCTAGAGCAACAGCATCCAACGTCGTCTCGAGAGATCCGCACTCTTGATAAGACCTTACAATTGCAGATCGAGCACTTTCGAGGATCTGTTTGTCCATGTCATGAATTGCAACGCGTGCATGAGGACGGTAGCCAAGGATCGCATCCATACAATCTGTTCAACTATCCTCCATGGAGAAAAAGGATGACCGCCGTTGCTACCTCGATGATGCCGAACAGCCCTCAAGCTATGATCGATCTCTTATTACAATCTCGCAGAGCGTGTCGTCCAAAGCAGGGTTGTAGCTTATACTAGAGCTCGAATCGTTCTCAATCTCCACTTCAAACCCACACGGTCCATAGCGGCCCCCATTAACGCGGTGCACTCGTACTCGCATCTCCAACCCTCTTCGAATCGGGTCGAACACTCTATGGCACTTCAATTCGCGCCCAATAAAGCCCAAAGGTGACCCCGGAGAGCTGCAATCCGTAGGGTCAAAGATGCCAATGCCATATGCGCTAGATCCATCCATCAAATACTTGCGAAGTATGAGCTCCTGACCGGGTTGAAGCATGCGTATACGGTTCCGGCGGCCTTCGAAAGTGACCCCAACGGCTCGGCATAGTATGCGTCCATCAGCAAGTTCCTCCATTGCAGGATTTGAGAGATTGGTATCATCGCTCGCGGAGACATACTCCTAAGTACAGCACGTGCAACTCATTCGCTTGGAGACATTTTATTCGAGGCAGTCGCACCATGATGCAAACAACAAGGGTTTGTAATGATGCACACGTGTTCGTTGGACATACTAATCTTGGCATATTTGCAAAGTTGTCTCAATTCGATCAATGCAAGCCAACTAACAAACGCTACGTTCCAAGCTCCTTGTAATTAACCTTGTCCATCTGCCATACTTCACGGTCATTGATACTTTACAACCGCGTTCGAGGCTGCGCCCATCAACGAAGCACGATCATACACTCCTCCAAATCCTCTTCGCTTGTCGACGAACGCAGTTCCTCTAGCAAAGGGTGACCAGAAGGCCTACGCAACAGATGATCCAGATCGCTGGCATCAACCTCATTGAGAAACCCTCTAACTGCAGGCTCCAGCTCCCGACGATGCTGCCATACACGAGGGACTTCACGAAACTGCAGCTTGACAAGCTTTGCCATCCTGAGAACATGCTTCCGCTCTAGCTTGTACCTGTAGTCGCTGTTTCCAGACGCTGACTCGTTTTGCTTTCCCTTCCCTCGTCGCGGACGGCTCACCTCGATCGCTTTCCCGAGCTTGAGGCCCATGTGTTCGAGCACTCTATTCATCACCCCCTTCAATTGGCCGGGATCGAGTCCGGCTTTTCCCTCTTTGGGTGCCGGCAACTGGATTTGGAACATCTCGGAGACCGCACGCTCCGACATTGCAGATTTTGCACCGACCCGCTTAGGACGGCCTCTGAACAGCTCCGAATTCAGGAGCCTGTCTTTGAGTCCGCCTGCGAGCAGCGAGCGCGTTTCACCGCCCACGTCGAAAGGGTGCGCCAGGCCCAGGTCCTTGAGCAATCCCCGCGCAGTCTCCGCCATTTTGGGAACGTGGCTCTGGCGAGCCACCGCCCCCTCGTCGAGGAACCGCCCCGGGAGTAGCACCTTTAGCAGAAGGTCGAGCTTCTTTGAGAACGGCGGCTTGTACTCGGCCTTTGTTTCTTTGAAGAAGTGCTCGTCAAGGTCCTTCAGGCCATAGTACTGGCAGGCCTCGTACCTCATCACCTCGACACTCTGCGCCCCCCTGTCCCGCTTCGTGTCCCGCAACTTCCTTAATTCCTCGTACTCTTCCTCATCAATCACCCTCGCCCCAATAATCTTTAACGCCTCTGCGTCCAGCCCTTTCCGCCTCTTACTCTTTTTCGATAGCTCCTCGGTTTGCTCAACCTCCACCACGTGGCCTGCTCGCGCGACTTGCACCTGGAACTCGTGAAGCAGGCGCACGTCCGAGTTCCGCCGTTCCGCCTCCGTATGCGCAAACGTCCGGAAGAGGGGGCCGTCCTCGATCAGCCGGACAACTTTGCCCGGGTCCTCGGTTCTCGACGGGACTCGCCTCCATGCAGCCGTCACTTCGCTGTTGCAAGCTTGCAGATACTGCAGCGTCTCCGCCGTGGTCACGCGCCGTGGAGGGCCGAAGAGTCCCTGCAGAAAGGACCCTCGGATTGAGCGAATCTTCATCGAAACTCTGCCACAATCAGATGTTTGTCATCTCCATCGGGTTTGGAGGTTGCCCAAAAGCTTCTAAAATCCAGGGCTCTCACAAAACTGCCCCCCAAACTGGCCCTCAACGAAGCTGGCATCTGAACCAGCCTACTTAAGTGGGCCCCACGAAAGTAGCCCACCAAAGCGAGCGCTAGAGGAATCGGCCCCAAAAGCAGCCCTACAAAATCGGCCAGGGGCCGAAAATGGGCCTCACAAAACTGTCGCGCTATGTACGAAGACTTGCTCACTGTTTGCTTTGCAAAAGCTATGCAAAGCGGCACAGTCGGACAGAGTCTAAGGCAGGCACGATGATTTTCACTTCCCACCTTGAGTCGCTCAGAATGCTGACCAGAGGAGCCCCCCACGCCGGACTGGGAACCGGACGCCCCGTTGAGAGGGGAATCGACGGCCACTTGCTGGTCCAGACGGCCGCCATCATCATCCTGCGCGTCAAAAAAAGAGATCAGTGATGTCTAATTCCCAGCAATGGAGCACGTGTCTCGGGCAGCATTCTCAACACTTTTGCAGACAAATACTTTTGGAGGGCCGTCAAGCAGCATCCGGAGCACAGGTTTGGAGGATTGGACCTGAAATGTCGTGCTTTGCAAGGCTCGACTCGAGCAAGACAAGAAGCGTTGCGCATAGTGAGAAAGACAAATGAGATGGAACCAATACCTGCAAAGTAGACTCGTCGGCCGCGTCTGATGCATGCGGTGCCATAGCCGTCGTTCCCTGCAAGTCAAAACCGAGTTGAATCTCTAATCGCGCATAAAATTCGGAGACGCGAACTTCAGCTTAAAACAAGGCAAGTGGCTTTGCAGATTGAGCACATTCCAAAGGTACGTGCTCAGCATCAAGCGAGTAACTTGAAAGAGCAAAGGGCAAGTGGCTACTCTAGCTCAAGAACAATCTGCTCATTGCCAATTGCTCAACTTGAAGCGAGTAACCTGGACGAGCTAGGCACCACATACAATCTCCTCACCTCCTGTCGCCGGGAGCAGAGTCGCGCGGCCGGTACCTCTTGCGCACAGTCCAGCATCACGGAGATGGACGACTGGACGAAGCAGTGGACCAGCGCGCTCTCCGTTTTCCGCACCCGCAACGTCGCCTGCCAGGCCGCCCGAGCCGTCGTGCTCTTCTTGCACATGTAGAGGAACTTGGTGTGGAACCAGGAAACGTCGAAATTTACCCCTGCCTCGACAGTGGGGCTGTACATGAGCAAGCGAACCTTCCAATTTTCTGCAACGTTCCTCAGAAGAGCCGTCGTTTCGCCCCCGCTCAGGGCCTTATGGATGAGGATGTCTGTGTCTGCAAGCCCGAGCGAGTGCCGCGACATGACTTGGTCCCGGATGCGGTCCAGGACCTTCGCGGACATGCTGACGACGACCACGTTCTTGCCAGCTGCGAGATCAGCAACTATTCGGTCCAGCCACTTCTTCTCGTCCAGACCGATGCGGAACGTCAGAGGCACCTACGCATGAAGCGATGCACAGACACTCAGCGCTGGGAGCTGCGAAAGAACATTGTGTGTCAAGAAAGTTCGTTTTTGAATCGAGGAACACACACGTTGTGCTATCAAAGACTACTTCCAAAGCAGAGGTAACAGTATGGCCGGGCCCTGTTAGCATGCAATGAATGCCTAAAGGTGGCCGACGCAGCACGTACCAAAACAAATCTGCCCTCCCGAGGGGGCTTAAAAAGGAAAGACCGTGGCGAAAGGCCCAAGATGCCAATCCTTAGAATCTATTTCTTCTCCCTTCGATCAAACAAGATGCAGCAGAGCAAACATGCTACGTCGAGCACTTCTAAACAGCCACAGTCTGAACGGCCGAAGCTTTGAACAACGACTGGTCTTCTCAAACACGCGTTTCTGCATAAGCTATTATGCTGATCAGATGCAATCAACCGGTGCCTACCGCAGCCCTTCTTGTGTTGATGACGAGCTTCCCAGGCACTTTCGCAAGCCGGAAGAAGTCGTGCTCCCGCTGCCCGTACCCGTCGTCCATGGCCAACACGCGCTTTGCCCGCTGGACAATCTCCAGGAACAGCTCACTGGTCTCCATACCGTTCCTCAAGGTTGCCGCGGAGAGGTGCGCGAGGATGCTCGCCACCTCGTCTAGGATGACGAGGTCAAACGGGGCAACCTCACCGATGCCGCCCGGCCGCAGGTTCAGGAGGCTGTCCACCTGAACCACAATTTCAGGGAAGTCCTTGCGGGACTGGAGGGCTGTCAGGAGGTTGTGCTTGTCGTTGGGATCCTGGAACCACTGGTTCTCATAATCCGCCTTCAGGTCGAGGTAGTTTGCGGTGCGGGGAAAGCGGCGTTTGAGGTCCTCGGCCTGCGCCACCCGGTATGTGATCATGATCGTCGTGATGGGGTGGTCGCTTGCTCGCCAAAGCTCATCCCCAACCGCCCCGCAGAAGACCGTCTTCCCGGTGTTTACGCCCGACCGGATGCCGAGCAGGGGGAACTTGCCCTCGATCCACCTGCAAGTGTCGACAAGAGCATTGTCAACACGCCGTAGCACGAGGAGAGTTCAGAAAGCCGAGACTTAAAAGTACTGTGGGTTATGCATTGACCTGAATCCCGTATGTGCCGGTTTCACCTGCAAGCAGCTTGAGAGGGTAAGTCAGCGATTGAACAAAGTCTTGTACGACCGGAATGTTTGGAAACTCGTAGCCATGTGCTGCTCTCAAAACGGACAGCGACAACCAGGCAAACGATGGTCTGCATCAGAAGGAGGACATCGCGCTTCATTATGCATGAGCCAAGCCGAAATATTCAACCCCTTGATGGCCAGAAGTTTGACACGTGACAGAAAGACAGTTGTCAACTTGTGCATGACATGCGGCAGGGGGGAAAACATTGATATAGGTGGGCGCCAAGAAGCGACCATGCTACTTAGCACCTGTAGATGCCGCAAGCGACCTGAAAGTCACACACTGGCAGAAGAAAAGCTCGTCGTAGTAGGTGCGCATCCAGAAGCGCCGAATCTAAGATAAGCACCCAATCCAGCCAGCACTCGCAAAACTTCTCCGGCGGTCATCTGAATGTCAACACGTGGCAGAAGATTGGAGTGACGAGTTGTCAAGAGCGGCAAAATAGGCGACCGTTTGTGGAAAAGTAGTGGTACGCGTTCAGTAGCGCACGCTTTGTCAATGGTTGCGAAAAACTGAACGGCCCTAAGCTGGTCACGAAGTGGGTTTTGGCGAAATAGAGGCTTGTCGGAGAGTTACTCGAAACTGTGAAAGCTTTTGGCATTACAATGGGCACGTATGCACTCTTTCCGCAGCAATACTTACTCGTTGGCGACCGTGTTGAGCTTCATCAGATCGTCCGGCTTCCTCAGCCCCGCCGCAACTTCGGCCACGAGCTCAGGGGTCGACGCGCCAGGGACCCGCTTGAGGTGCTCCATGTCTACCTTGACCGCGCCTGTCTCATACGAGATGTTATCCTCGAACAGGTCCCCCAGGCAGTACGCCCTGCTGACACAGGGGACGTCCGAGTCCCCACCCTCGGTATTTCGGCTGAAACACAGAGCATAGATCTTGCCGTTTGGATTGAGATGGCAGATCAATCTCTGACGGTCATGGATCCGACCCGTGTAGCACGGCTCTGTGCGATCGCTGTAGTTGTAGTAGCGATCAGGTCCATCCTCGTAGGCGCTGGGGTGCAAGCGTTCTCAGAGCAGCGCCAGCATGCGCGCCTTCACAAACTCGTCATTCGTCAAGCTGCGCTCAGTGCCCCTTTCAGACATCACTCGAGGGTTTCTATACCTTTCGTGGAGTCTTTCGGGCACTTCGAACGGCAGCTTGACCTCCTCACGGGCCTGTAGCACAGCACAAGGGCAGCTTGTTAGAAGCACATTCGTGCCAAGTCATCCACATCGCCTTGTCAAAATGAGAGGAGGAAGCCAGGAAGGAGGCCAAGGTGGTTCGTGTTTGGCGACCACCTGAACTACAAAAACTTGCGCTGCCTTTCAACCAAGGATTGTGTGAGAGCAACAGATTGCAACAAAAGCCGAGCGCCTTCAAATGCAGTTATCCCATCAAGCTTCAACGCTGAAGAGGCGATTAGAATCGAGGAGTGCGCCACAAGCAGGATCCGTCCTTCACGCAAAGATGAAGGCCACATATAAAGCAATCACTGCTCAGGCTCGCAGCAAAACCAGCAGGATGTACCAAGAAACGATGGATTACTTTCTAAAGAATCTAACGGGCCTTTCCTGGTACATCTTGCGGGCATGGCCGGGCAGCACATCAAGCGCCAAATGCGTTTCGTACCAGGAAGGATTAGTAACACTTCAAAGATTGAAGCCGTTTTTTGGTGCAGCCTTCATATGACCGACCAGGCAGGTGTGGGGGCTGGATGAGCTGCTCACCTCGAGGGGCTCCAGCCAGGTCACCAGAGCATCCTTCCACGAATGGGCCGGATTGATGCACGTCAGGACGCTTTCCGGCTTCTCAATCTTGGCGCTTCCCGGAGTCCGCCACTGGCGGTCCTTCGAGTACACGTTCAGGTCGATGGCGTCGGCGAGCGCAGGATGCCACCGCTGCAGCCTCTTCTTGAGGCGCCTCGCAAAGTGGAGAGCCCCCTCGGTGTTAGAGGCGAAGACGAGCTGGCGGGGGGAGAGCTGGTTGATGGTGAGGTGGAGGCTAAACTTGGTCCGGCGGGGGCTCTCAATCCAGACGAAGCTGCTCGGCTGCAGCTCACAGTCGTATTGCTCCTTGAACACGATACTGGCCCACTTCTCCATGAGCCCAATCACCTCCTCCCGACCGTACTTCTCCCTAGCCTCCACAACCTCTCCATCCGCCCCAATCACCGGCTGGCGCCTGAAGGGGAGCCCCTCCTTCCAGTCGAGGTCAAGGTAGGGCTTGCAGGGCTTCCGTTCTGGATAATTTCGGTCACCGACCCGTGCCCCTCCAGATGCCGCCGCGCTGACTCCCAATCCGGGAATGAAGCTGCGCCACGGGACCCTCACCCCGTCTGAGACCATGCCGGACCACTTGTGCAGGACCACCTGCGCCTCGTGGTTTAAGAGAGCCGCCTCCTGCTGCATGTAGTGCTTTGGGCCCGGGAGGCGGCCCCTAGGGTTGGTCCCTCTCTGATGGAAGCAATTGGTGCCGTGCTCCCGCACACGCAGCACCCGGAACCCGTCCTTCTTGAAGACCTCGTTGCCGGTCAGCGGGTCAGAATGCACCGCAGGCTCGGGCACCGCCACAAGGTCCTCGCGCGCCATTGGATGTCTGCATGAGCGATGTAGGAGCAGTCAGACGTCGCAGCGCAAGAAAGAATAGCAGACTTTGCGACTTTTTGCTGATGCACGCCCAGAATATTGCAAAAAAGGCCTCTTCCGTCTTTGACGAGTAACACGTCACTTCTGAATCACAGGTCGCTCTTATGGAATTAAAACCGGGTTGCTGAATAATTTGTGATGCCCCAGACCAGCCCCACTAACCATGCACCATTTCTGCGACACTTGGTGGGGCGGCCAACCTCAGACCCAAGAATGGACCACAAAATGAACACTAGCAAATAACGAATGACAAGGCTGAATCCTGACTTCATTCAAGTGGCAGAACATTGGCTGATGTACACGTTTTCAGCAATCTACGAGACGCAATTGTGTGGGAGCACTGATTGCTGTCGATCTGATTCAAAAGTCCTTAAATGTTACTTGATGTACACTTTGCACCCGTCCAATTGACGCAGATCTTTGCCAGCGAATCGCCCATTAAGCACAACGAGCAGCCCATAAAGCAGGGTAAGACGTTTTCAATGGTGGCTGTACTAGGATGCGCTGAGGAAGAAAGGGGCACTTCCTGGTACATTCTGGGGAGGGTATGGCCGGCCCACAAAGCAGGGTGAGACTTGGTTGAGATACTTGTACCAGGATTCAAAGTAATGCTCTTTAGAGAAGAACAGGGCTTTTCCTGGTATTTTCTGAGAGGTATGGCTGGCCCACAAAGCAAGGTCAGGCTTTCAATCGGTAGGCTTTCAATCGGTAGCTGTACCAGGGTTCGCTGTAGTAGCGAGTGCAGCTGCAGGCCCAACCTAAAGTGCACAACGATTTAGCAAAGGACAGCTACTTACATAGTGGCCGGCGGCGCTTCATCGTGGGCCTTCCTCCTCTGAATCTCTCTCCGCATGGGCGCCAGCGCATCGTCCAGGGTCTCATCCTCGAGCCGAGCTGCCGCTTCCTCCATCTCCATCTGCCGGTACAGATCCCGCCTTTCAGCGTCCGGCACCGCCGAGTCGTCGATGCCCCGGTCGTCCTCGGATGTGGGCTCCTCGTCAGACTCGGTCTCGTCGGATGTCTCTTCAATGTCGAAGGAGGCGGCCTCTTGATCGGACGTCGCAGCTACCTCCTGTAGGACCATAAGGAACTAATTTGTGAAATCTCGCCGTGCTTGGTGCTCATTGGCCGTCAGAAGAAGCTGGCAGTGGAGATCTTCTTGCAAAGAACGGTGAGCGCAGCATGGTGCTTAGCAATGAAGACAGAACCTATGCCTCTTTGCGCAGACCAGCCTCGGCATGCCTCTCCTGATACCTTTCAGCAATCGCACACAGGAAACGCACACAGGCTGCTTACAGCTTCGTCCGGGCTTCTGAACCGGATCCTGATACCGCTTGGCGCCGGGAAGCTCTCCCTGCTTGAGGCGGCCCTCTTCCTGCCTGCGACCTCCTGCATTTGAGCATTGGGACACGTTGCATTCAGAGCAGGCATGACACGAATTTAGGGGAACGCCTCCGCGCTCAAAAGGCATAACAACCATGTGCTTTGACACCAATTTCACGGGCCGCTTTGCTCTTTCTCGCCCCCTGACCGTCAAAGAGAGCGCAATTTTGAAGGCCGTACACGACTACCGCCCTCAGGATAACCTGGAACTACCCTCTGCGGCTTCGAAGCAAGAGCGCCCGGTCAAAATCGTGCGGGTGGGATCCAAGCACAAATTCGGCAGAGAACATTCGACTTCTTTGGTATATTCCCCTCCTTCGACTGCCAATGGACCGTCTCCAAGGACAAGCGCGCTCTTGTTTTGGACGAGAGAGGTGACTTCAGGGACTATGTGAGCTGGTTAGAGTACCTCATCTCCCATCTCTTTGCGGCATGGGGAGTACAGCTGAACGGAACCGTCACATTGGAGGGGAATCTGTTAGGCGACACAGGATCGATTACGATCGATGGCGACCGGATTGTCGTCGATCTGAAGGAACCGACCAAGGTACTTTGCATAGAGAGATTGTTCGACTCACCATAGCAGGCGGCTCTGCAGCAGTGGAGAGAGGCTGGCTGGTAGGATGCGGGGGGCTCGAGGAGGGGGCCCGAGTCCTGCAGGACAGCAAGAGCGTGGGGCGTTTAGGGACAAGGGGCGCAGAGACGAGACAACCTCGACCGCTAGAAAAATATTACACAGACTTAGGGCAACGCTTTGGCACTCAAAAGGGCATCAAATTATGGGCTACGACACAAAGTTCACCGGCCGCTTTGCCTTTTCCCGCCCCTTGACTGCCGAAGAGAGCGCGATCTTGGCAGCAGTGCACGAACACTGTCACGAGGACGACCTGGAGCTACCTTACGCGGCTGACGGGAATCGCCCAGTCAAGATCGAGCGAGAGGTGATCAAGCCCTTGTATGTGGGCGAGGGCCTCGACTACTTCACGGAAAAGTTCCCCTCTTTCTACTGCCAATGGACGCTGTCACCCAACAAGCGCGCTCTTGTCTGGGACAAAGGGGAAAAGTTCTACAATTATGTGAGCTGGCTCGAATACCTCATCTCTCACTTCTTCGCCGTATGGGGAGTGCAGCTGAGCGGGACCGTCAATTGGAAGGGGGCCAATGGGGGCGACAGAGGTTCGATCACGGTCGAGGGTGATAGGATTATCGTCAAGATGCCTCTAGCCCGGAAGGACTCACCGTAGATGCCAGCTCTGTATCAGCGGAACGGGGACCGCTAGCAGGACGTGGGTCGCTGGAGGAAGGGCCCGTTTCCTGTACAATAGGGGGAAGGCAAGGGGCTTAGGGGCAAAT